AAGCACTTATTCTACTGAGCTATCTCCCAGGCCCCTAGGGTGTGTTATTTTCCAAGTCATTATATTCTGATATGTTTTAGTAATGCATATTGAAATATTGATTAGTGCAATGTGATGATGCCTGAATTTGCTTTAAAGTATTCTGGTGTTCTGGGGAGAAAAGGTAAGAGAACACTTGAAAAACTGTCACCATGTCAATGGTGAAAGCACAGTGTGGGTCCCTGATTCTCCTGGACATCAGCTGTCTGCCTGTGTCACATATCCTATCACAAGCGTAGAGGGCTTGAGAACCATGGTTTTGAAGTATGAGGTTCAAATAAGCTCTATCCAGAGCCCAATCCTTTATGGTCAAGAAGTAGCTACTTGAGAATAAATAAATGAGAATAAATGTGTCATGCAGGATGAATAACACAAGATAGAATTTTTGTGACTTGCCTGTTCAGACCACCATAAAAGTATGCCAAGAAATGACTAAAACAAGGATCCTGTCAGGTGTAGAGATGAGGGAGGAACAGGAGAAACAATAGGAAGTTAGGAGGCATATGGCAACCTTAGAACTGGTGTGTCTAGGCCAAGAGCCCACCTCATAGAGCATCACAGGAAAACACAGCTTATATGACATTTTCACTAAATTGGTGCCACAATAATGAGGTTTCTTTAATCTCAGAGAAAAATACTGTCTTTTCCAAGAATACTTTTCATGTTTGAAGACACATGTCACCCAAACTTCTTGTTGATCTTTCCTTTACATTATTACAATTACACTTTCTTCACAATAGCCGAACACTACATGCATTTGCAGGCAAGTGTGAGGTTTTCAGGTGCAGGTACTCTAGGGAACATGAGGGAGGTAGTGAGGTATTTCAGTTTTCCAATGATGGAATAGGAATGATCCATTCTCTTCACCATTCAGTGTTTGAAGTTGTCATAATAAACTAGTTGGTTTTATAATATTTTAATTTTTGGTGTAATTACAAAATTAAATTGTACATATGGAGGGCTGGTCAAATAGCCCAGCAGATTAAAAGGTCTGCTTAGGCAGACGCAGCGGCTGGGATTTCGATCCCAGGGCCTGCCGTGAGGGCCCTGCATCCGGGGCGCCCTGAGACAGGGATTGACACTGGGCATGGCGGCATGCGCCTATAATCTCAGCACTTGGGAAGCTATAATCAGAAGGATCACTACAAGTCCAGTCTATGTAGTGAAACTCTGTAGACCCTATAGACCTTCTCCTAAATACACAAAAATATTGTACATATGGAACATATACAATGTGACCAAGGACAGAGC